TTCGTACGATCTTACTTATTTCCCATCTTCTCGTGTTCCTTTTCACTTCTACTCCTGTTCTGTTTCTACGATCTCCGTTCTCTCTTCTCTTCTTCCCCCCCCCCCCCCCGTTTTTTTTTTACTTGGCTTTCCCTATCCACCCGGTCAAATCCTGCAATAGATCTCTCTGCTCACTTGTTTTTTTTTTTTTTACTTCGCATCTTTTTTTCCATCCATCGCTTTGGTAAGTGATTTCATGAATCTTCAATGGGGTTCCTCGCCCCCTTCCAATTTCCCACATTTCCCTATCTTGTATGATGCCTTAAAAATCCTGTCCCCTTGATCTGAGCTGTGAGGTTCTTCGGAGCTTTGGGATCTTCGGATCTTGGGATCTTGGGATCTTTGATCGCGTGTATCATCTCTATGTTGTACTTCGCGATTTTCCTGCCAAGCCTTTTTTCCACTGCTACCAACAGTGACGTTTCCTTTCTGCATTCTGCATTTGGCAACGCGACTGGTTGCTTTTTTTTTTTCCTTTTCTCTACTACCATTTCCCCCCTTTGAAGCCACTGTACTATTCATAACCTGGAGTCAGTTCCTACTGATGTATCCTATATTTGATTTACTGTTCAATTTCCCCTCTCCCTGATTTCCCGCTTCATCCCCCCCCCCCCCCCTTCGCTGCTACTGGATCAATTTTCACCGATCAAAACTGATTCTCTCCAGACCAACAGCGATGGTGGGAAGAAAGAAAAATCGCGCGGCTGCACAGCCTGCTGCCAGAACTCCTAGTATTTCTACGCGATCTGGGCGCACCGCTCAAGGTAAGTTTAGACAGGTCTGTGCTATCGGTCCAATCTTTGACCTCTTGTATAGATACTATTCCAATTCCCACTACTACTCGTGGGAGAGGGAGAGGTCGAGGACGTGGTCGCGGCCGTGGCCGCGTCAGTCTTCCTGGCCATCTTCCTTCCCATGAATCATCGAGCAGACCAGAAGTTCGCTCGCACATCATCAAATTAAAAATTTCTTCACTCAAACTAATGCAACATGCTGATTCTGATGCCCCCGAGGAAACTGAAAATGCAAGTGCTGTCTCACAAAACCCAGAGACCCCTCGCACTCGGCGTCCTCGGCATCCTCGGACTGTGCCTGAGTCTTCGCGGACCACCCGGCAGTCAGCAAGACTGAAGCCGGATGGAGATGGCGTCTTCGAAGAAGATGTCTCCCCAACCAAGGTCGTTGACAGTCAAAGCACCGAGCCAGATGATGACATGGACTCTAACCATTATGATGAGGAGTTCAAGTCCGAACCTCCATTTCAAAAAATGTCTCAATCTCCTGAACCTCGTATGGTTGCTTCAGCCCCGGTGTCGCCTGGGGCTACTCATATCGACCCTGCTGATGCTAGGATCGATGATCTGAACATCCATATGGACGAAATTGTAGATCCAGCCAAAGCAAAGGCTGAGGATACGCCCGTCGGCCACAGCCCAAAGATTTCCCACATTGAACCAGCGCAATTCAGTGCAGTGTCTTTATCCCGACTTGCGCGCAAGCGGAGGTCACTGGAACTACAAACTGAAACTTCGGATGTTGATTCCGAGGATCATTTGAACAAAAAGTTGCGAATCGATGAGACTGAACTTGAAGAGACTCCAGCGAGCCATTTTCAAAATGGTGCAGAGCTTGATACTCTAAATGAAACATCTCCTGAGGACATCCCTATTCCTTCGGAAGAATTTGACCCCCCTGCTTACAACCCTACTGTTCGAGGAGGCCGTGGAGGCCGAGGAGCCCGTGGCGGCCGGGGGCGAGGACGTGGCCGGGGCCGTGGTCGCGGAAGCCGCGGTGGTTTCGTCGGTCCAATTCGACCTACAGCAGTTACCAAGCCTCGAGGCGGCCGAGGACGTGGACGTGCCAAGGCCACCATCATCAAACGCGGCAAGAAAATCGAAGACGAGATCTGGGACGTCACCGAGAATTGGCGTGGCTCCACCCCATCGCCTACTCCAGAATCAACGCCAGTAAAAACTCGCCAGGAGGAAATGTCTGTGCTCTTCAAGAAGGTTGGCCAGGCGCAGCATATTGCGTTGAGTTTCATGGCCGATCAGACCATGCACAAGCTTGCTCGCGAAAAAAATGTACACAAAGACTGTCCAGAATTCGAACAAGTCCAGCGGGATCTGGACGAGTACGAACGCAAGGCCATTGGGAGAGTGAGAAACGAATACAAGGTGAACATCGAGTTGGAGACTCGGAAGCATGAGGGCCATGTTCAGGTGATCAAAGACACCTCAAGGGTAAGTTTTGGATTGAAGTTGTCTCATCACTGGAGGATTCTGACTCGTGGAAACAGTTACTTATTGAGCAAGTCCAAGAGGAGATGCTTACGATGCTTATGGGCAAGATGATGGCCCTGATCCAGGGCCGCAGGGTGGCCGAGGACGATGAACACACCGAGGTAAATACCCTGAAGACTTTCAAAACGAACGCTCAGCTAATCCTTCTCCAGTACGACACATCGGATTCAGAAGAATCCGTGAAGCAATTCCTTTTCCGAGACGGTGAGACGGCGGTAAGGCAGGCAGAGCGTGGATTTGCAGCCGAAGCAGTTCGAGACCCCGAGGGGGCTGTTGACTTTGTGGCCGCGGAGGAGGGATGGGAGGAATTCGTCCAGAGAGTACGAATGGGCCGCTTGAACGAGGAGATCGCACCAACTGAAATCTCTGATGAAGATGCTCTGCGAATGTGTGCCAAGGATGCCTTCGGCGGCATGCTTCATGCAGCCACCTACATCCAGGAGCAAGAGGCGGCCGGCAAGGTCGTAGGCTACGATGGCACCGCTGATTTCCCAGTGCACCCACGAGCACTTTCCATTCTGGCAGACGTGGCTCTGACCGAGCCCCTGCCCCAACACCTCCCAATGATGCGAACCGACCCCAGCACTCACCACCGTGCTCTCCTCCCCCAACCCACCCACTCCCACCCGGGCCCTCCCCCTCCCTCCCTCCATGGCCACGGGCCAACAGACCCGCGGTCCTTCATCCTCCCACGGCCCACCCCAACCCAGCAGCCGCGGCGCCTTCTCCCCGCCCGCCAGCAGCTAGGTTTGGGGCTGGGCCTGCCGGACCCGTTCGCAATGAACGGGCCGCCGCAGCTGCCCCCTCCCCCGGGCTCCAACTTTGCGCGCCTGCCCCTGCCGGGCTACATGCCCCAGGGCCACGCGCCCTCCCTGTACTTCCCGCCTCCGCCACCCGGACCGCACCCCCCGCCCCCGCCGCGCGGGTACTAGACCCGCCGGCTTGTACCAAGATGTTTGTGTAGCGTTCCCCGCAGTTGATACCAATTCTTTTTTTTTGTATGTTTAGTTGGGATGTCCTCCCCCCTGAGTGGGGATAGAGGGGGGAGGGCATCAGAATGAATAGATTTTTCTCGTTTGATTGAGTACTGTAGTGCAGTAGGATGGAAGATCGAGAGAGCAGTTTTAAAGATCAGTAGTCATGTGAGTTCTCAAAGCGAGCCAGATGCAAATTCAAATTGAAAGTAGAAGTGAGCAACAAGTGAGGAGCGAGAGAGGTTCAAATGAAACCAAGCAATAGTTATTTGAGGGAAGCCCTAAGAAGAGCAGACACCAGAAGTAATCTTCCAAGGTTCGCCAGGGAGCTTCTTTCATCCTGCCACATTTGATCCTATCACGTCCCCCATCTCATCTTCCACCTCTTCTCGCCTCTCGCACTTTCTTCACACCCTTCACCTCTTGAACTGGAAGTAGCCAGCTGCGGTGGTGTCGATGGCACAACCTGCCATTAGAATGGAGACGATGATAGACGCCAGGAATGCTACAGTGCACCGGTGGATCAGTCAGGTTCCCCGGCAGGTTCCACCCTAGCCAAGAATCTGCTAGCTGGTATAGACTCTGCGATTGACAGAGTCAAGACAACATGCATGACAAGCCTTGAGACTTTCGTACATGCTTGGCACGCTCGTGAGCGGATGCACTCAATGAGGACGCTGTCCTCATCCAAGACACTGGCTGCGCTACTGAAAGCTTCAAGGTAGCATGAAGACATGTAATTTCTATCGCGTCCTCGATCGAAGAGTATGATATCACGCTGCACGAAGAAGTCATTCACCTATCAAAATATCGGAAAATAGTAGCTAACAACTGCTGGAACAGTGCTGCTGGCTTCCACATTGCTTGAGCTCATCCTCGTCTGATGTTTCCTTCTGCCGACTTCCTTTGAAAATCTTCAGAGTACATACCCTTAATTTACTCACATCTTCTGCTACTCTGTAGCCCTATATCAAATCGCTTCAATCCCCCCTGAGACGAAGCCGATCCATCGAAGACAGGATTTGGTGATACGTCCGCAACGGAATTCCCCGCTCTATTCAATCATGAACTCATGCCCCACATGCTGAAGGCGAGAGTGTGAGTAGACCCTGCCAGAGGCAAAGCAAATATAGCCGTCACCGTGAAACTCCACCGCAGCAAACCCCAGACCAAAGCAGAGACCCGAGAATCGAATTCGAACATCCCTATGTTACCCAATCCATATGATCGAAGAGACTAGTGATAAGATCACAGTCTCTCACTATTCACAAACAACAACCTTCTATTACCCATCAACGTCATTAGTGAGCTAGCCATCTGGCTGCGAGCCATGGAGGTGTACCATGCCTGGTAGCTAGCCGCTCGCTAGAGAACTCATCTTTCATTCTTCTGCCCACGGTCTCCATACCGTGTAACAACTTCAGTCACGGTTTCTCACGATCCCCCGAGCTTCCAGAAGAGAGTATCAGGCCCTAGGGTATAGGGTAAGTCTTCATCGAATATTGGCTAAGCTAAATTCGAAAATTGAGTAACTTACTATGACTTCTGTTTCCAGCCTGTGTGCACCAGGAGAGAAGATCATTCACTTCTCGAAAGTCAACGGTTTCAGGATTAAGTACCGATGAAGAGGAAGTTCGTTTTCTCCGTGCTAACCAAAGGAGCGAGGTGAAGTGAGAAATTCCGAATCATGAGAGAGAATCGGATAAAGAGAACCTCATCAAGATGGCAACTTCGGTATGGGCTGCCCAAGAGGCCTGACTTTCACGAGAGAACCGAAAGAGCGAAGAAGAAAGGACTAAGATCTTGACGACGGCCCTATCAAAGTCACTCATGTTATACCACTTGAAGAATTTTCCCTGTCCATGCCTTACAGTGTATTCGCCTAACTCCAATCAAGCTACTACAGCAACGTGAGAAGACGTTATACCCTGGCCTCCGCTCTTAGAAATGGAAGCAGGTAGTAATAATTGCGGTTATCGTCGGAGCCACTTAAAGATTAGTGGCGCAAAGAGATGAAATAGGACTCATCAGCCTAAGCATTGGGGTGAGCGATCAGGCTGCTTAGGGACCT